GCAACATTGTTTATGGTAGCAATGATCTCTGATGAGTTGCATCTGGACTAGAAGGAACTATAGAGGATTTACAAATACTTGATGGGGAGCCATTGAAATGGGCTTTGCTGAAAACCTTGACTCTTATAACTGAGAGGTTCTTTGCAGGAAACCTATAAGCAGTGCGTATGAAATTTTTATAAAAGGCATTGACTTATGAAGCTTTTAAGCCAAAGCAATTCAGCACCTGCCCTATATGACTCTCATTACCTTGAACCTGAGCTACCACTTGGGCAGCCAAAGAGGGTTGTATGGGTTGCTAACTAAGCAGCTGACAAATTCTCCCACAGAAGGGAAACCCCTGACACTGCCCTTCTGGAAGGCTGTAGTTTTAACCTTTATGTGTGCTGAGTGTGGCCACCTGTGTGTTTTAATTAAACATAGGAAGTCTCCCTGTACCCTGATCAGTATTGGCAGTTTAGCTGTAGTGGAAAGTTTTGTTTTTGGACTTGTAAGATCTAGAACATAAGAGACACATTTTAGCCTCATCATGAAAAACTGCCAGATTGTGGAAAATAGTTGAAAAACTGCCAGACTGTGGAAAATAGTGGGTAATCTAAGTGTTGGAGGAGAGTAGAACCTGACAGGTTTTGAGTGGAGTTAATATCATTTTTTTTAATCATCCTATCAAACAAGTAATCTAGTTCATTATATATGTTAGAAGAAAGACTAGCGATCAGTTCAGTGAAAGGTGACGGAAGACCAATTTAGATGGCTGAATGACTGATAACACAGTATTAACAGAGGACTAATTTCTGAGATAGACAGGATAGAGTAGTAGCCTAAGACTGAGAGGGGCCCTAACCTGACATCTGGTGGTAAGATCTGACTTGCAATCCATTGCAATTCACTTTTTCCAGTTTCTTGCCTGAACTCCCAGGTACCATCCAGCTCAAGTTTCAGCTCCCGTAACTTTATTTCTAAAGACCACTCAAGATGGTCTGACAGAAAGTACAAGTACATTGAGATATCAGTTGTAAGAAAAAAGAAGAAGAAATGTTTGTTTTCAATAAAATAACCATCTTTTCTCCTTGGGATTTTTTTTTTAAGTGACTTACACTGAAAATATAGAGAAATAAATTCCTAATGCTTCTTGTCCTAAATTACATGACGGCATTGCCAATTATACAAACACACAAAAAATACGCATTCAAATGTTTTTTCCTTTTATTTTTTTCTTGGAATTTTCATTCTAATTTCTTTTAGTGTCCTTTAAAAAAAAACCTTTTAAAAAATAGATTGTATGCTTTTCTGTTTGTCTCATCCACTAACAAGTCTCCCTTATTCTTACCTGCACTCCTAGGATTTGACTGGTTTAAAACTTTAAAATGGAGCAATATTTACTTTTTCAAATAAATACATATTTGAAACTCCTTTAATCTTGGGATACTCAAGAACTGAAAACTCTCAAATTATAGAAAATGCCCTTGATGACTTAGAAATGATGGCACAGTCTTTTCGGATTTTCAACAAATGTACACCATAAATTGAAAAAGAGCATAGAAAAACATTCACTTAAGAGTACTATCTTGCTTCTAAATTTCTTAAAGTGTCTCTGATCTTCTTTTGAATGCTCTTTTATTCCCCTTCTATATCCTCATGTATTGGAACAAGTAAAATGAACCTACAAATGTTTTATAAACTTAAAACACTTTTGGTACTGAAAAACCACAAAAAAATTCTAGCTCTTAGATCAACTGGTAGACAGGATGTAAAGTGTATTTTTAAACTCATCCTTTCTCAGAAGGACAAGCCTAATTAAGCGTGAAGAAAATAGGGGTACAGCATACTAACCCAAACAAAGGGAGCTGATTGGACCATATTCCTAATCAAAAGCCAAATGGTGAAGGATAGCCTCCCGCCTTCCATTAGCAATTTTTAAGACATTGTTTTCTTCTCTCTTTAGGAAATCAACTTATTGTGATAATGGGTCATGTGTGTACTTAGACCAGATGTTATTTCACTCAGGTGGCAAAACTGTGCACTTAACTAACAGTAAGTTTTTTGAAAATAATTCTCATCCAGAATAAAAAGTGGTACAACATGTTTGCTTTTGAGAACACGCATCCCTTCCCTAGAGTTAGCAAGCTGTGAAGAATGCTGAGACACAAGTCAAAGATACTACAGAGGGAGAAAACTTGAAAATTTCAAAGAAAAAAAAATTTTAAATAAGCACTAAACTGACTCAAGAAGTTTAACTGCTTGAAGTGTCTGTGTCTGAATTTCAAAGTCAGTGACACAGCACTGAAGGAGTTTTCAAAGACATGTGATATGTTGCCTCCCATAAATCAATATCAGCTAAGTAGTCAAATGGATAATGAATTTCAAGGTAGTCAGTAAGGGGAAAACTGGAATGCTGCTGGTTTTAGTGTTGTTGTGAGTAGAGAGAGTTCATTTACACAGATGATATTATGAGATGCATCTACCATTTGACATCTGTGTATAAAACCTAAGCCTCAATGTCCTTAAGTATAAAATGGAACATGTATGAGTTTTCTATTGCTGCTGTGACAAATTACCACAGCCTTAGTGGCTTACAACAACAAAAATGGGCAACCCTCTCAGGTCCCCTCCCACTATGGGAGCTTTTCTGTCCTCTTAATAAATCCTGCTTTCTCACAAGAAAAAAAATAATAAAACAAAAATGTATTATCTTTCAGTTCTGGAAATCAGAAGTCTGAAACTGGTTTCAAGGCTAAAATCAAGTTATCAGCAGGACTTCATTCCTTCTGCAGGCTCAAGGGGAGAATCGTGGGGGTTTTTTTGTTTGCTTTTGCTTTTTTGCCTTCCCCAGCTTCAAAAGACTGCCTTCATTCCTTGGCTTGTGTACTCCTTTGATCTTCAAAACCAGAAATGGACAGTTGAGTTTTTCTCACATTTCATAATTCTGACTGACTCCTCTGCCTCCCTCTTTCACCTATAAGGGCCATTATGATTATGGTAGGCATTTGGATAATCCAGGATATTCTCACCATCTCGAGATCAGCTGATTAGCTGCCTTAATTCCATCTGTAGCCTCAATCCCCGCCCCCTTGCCATATAGCATAACATATTCACAGATTTTAGGGGTTAGGGCAAGAACATCACTGGGGGCCGTTATTCTTCCCTCCATAGACATAGACTTTTCATGAGAAATAAATGAAATAACATAATATGCAAAATGCTTATACACTGCCTAGAAATCATTCAATAAACATTATTCATATTTAAATACAAAGGTGGATTTGAGCCCTTAAATCTGTCTTAAAACTAACTAAATCCAAGTTAAACAAGGATGTTTAAAATGACTGGATTTTCTTCTTGGGTACTTAACTGAGCATTCCTATTTATGCCCATTACATTTTAAACCATTCCCGTGTATAACTCCTTGGTAATCAGGTTCAGTCATTTTATAGATTGAAAGTATCCACCACACATATGCTTTAATGAGGTCATTGTTTCAGCAGTGACCATTAGAGTTTGCTAAGGGAAATTGTTCACTTGCTACAGTTAGCACAAAGACACAGTTATTAAGCAAGCAGGACACGTCTACAAAGAGATGTCAAAAACATAGAACATCAAGTAGGAACCTCTAAAGAGAACATTGGGAGCTCCGCTGCTTTCCATTACGCTCTATTCAATTCTGAGATCTAAATTGCTGCTGATTTTTCATCTTTTAATCACTTCACAGAAGTTAAGTGTCCTTGGGAAGCACTACAGTGGTAGCACATATCTCATCTCATTGATTCTAAATTAATTTGATCTTTTAACTCCCAGCTATTGAGTTTTCTGGGCTGCTAAAAAAAAAAAAATCATATTAGGGTGATAGGACTTCTTTTTTCTTTTTCACAAATAAAATCTGAACAGCAGAATCTGTGGTTTGGGACAAAATTACATTTAATACTTATTTCCACTCAAATAGAAATATAAAACTTTGGCCACATGCAAGAATTTTTCACAATAATAACAAGAATATATAAAAGTAATATATGCCAGAACTAATCTGGTTTGATATGAGGACTTTGTCTAACACTGTGGGACGTAAGTATACTCCTTCAAAGGGTATCAACTGCTGCCTGAGATACTTTTTTCCCTGGGGACTATGAACATTAATTTGTAAAAATTCATTTAGAAGAGTTATAGCTTATAGAAGGGTAAAAGGATAGATTGGTTGGTTTCTACAAATCAATACTATAAATCTCCCCAGTGAATAATAAGATAATAGAGTTAATACTGTATTGAGTTGAAAAGGGTCATGAGTATTATTACCTTTGTTATCTAATTTTGTTTTAAATTTCAGCTAATAGTAGGACTCATACATATTGCTAGTCAGTATTATGGTGTTCAAATAATAGATCTATGAATTTGATGGCTATAACAAGTGTTTACAGTCTTGAGAAAATATTCTGAGTTTAACTACATAAAATAGGAAAATATTGTCAGTTGTGTAAACTTCAAAATATTTAATTCTACATTTATAATTCATATGATAAGTTAAATAATAGAAATAAAAATTAAATGGGAGTAAATTTCACAGTCAGAACAATGAGAATCATCTTTCTTTTCCTTGCCAATTTGAAATGAGAATTCTCCTAGTGAAAACTAAATATTAATTATCCCACTAAGGGTAGTAAGTAAGACCAACTCTGAGTAGGGACTAGAAGATCTTCTGGAAACAAGGATCAGTCAGTAGGCTATGTGACCTCTCTGAGCCTTTTTCTCTTCTCTTTAAAAGTATTTCAATGTCTATGAAGTTATGAGTTCACAAAGATTCTCATTATGCAAATAAAAACTATTTGAGACCTAGAGAATTGAAAAAACTTCAAGCAGACAAAGCAGGATTTACACATCTGTATTCTTTCCATTCTCCAATATTGTTAGTAAGATTCCCAATGTCCCTACCAATTCTGAAATGTCCCATTTTTATATGTCACTGAAAACAGTGACAAATGATTGAGACTCTTGAAGTATTTCACACCCACCTGGTACATTGCGAAGTGGAGGAGGAGGCACGTTGTTAATAACTGTCATCTGAGATAAAAGAGCTGCTGGAAGAGACGATATAGGCATCTTGAAGGCTCAAAGGCAGCTGACGAGAGGATACTTGAGGGGTAAGTGATCACTCTTTTCCTTTAGGTTCATAAAGCAGAACCCTCAAGGTACTCTCTGATAGGGTGAATCCTACAGAATCTTCTTGTTCACAGTTCTTATCCATTGTTTGTTCAGCATTTCCAAGAATGAATTTGAAACCAGGAACAACTATACTATATTTGAGTCCAGTGGAATTTATGATAGATTTTGTGAACTACAGGGAGTAGTAGGAATGAACAAGGAAGGTGTAATTTACAAGACAGCAGAATAAACAACATTCATGATTCTAGGTTAAATGAAAAAAGAATGTGCTTCATTGATCTTTCATAGTCCAGAGACCTTTCCCTGCCTGGAAAATAAGTACTTTAGTTTCACCATCCCACCCCCTGCTTTTTTTTTTAACAGCAGTAACAGGAATAGGACATTTATACCACTCTTCACAACTATATATAGGGTAAACATCCATTTTAATAACATACCAATAAACACTTACATTTAACAATATTCTTCTGGAGTGGTATATATTTTGGGTTATTTTCTGCTGCCTCACAATAATTAAGGCTAGTTACAATGACTAAGGTTTAGAATTCTAATTAATGTATCTTTTGATTTTGTGCATCTTTCAAGAGCTTTAAAAACATTTTCCTGGTGTCATAACTGCTATAGGTATAAATAAGCAGACTATAGCTGTCTGACACCTTAACCAGAGTGTTAACTATTTATTGACAACTTCATCTAGATAACATCAATAACTAGAATGGAAAACATTAATTATATTTAAAAAGTAACAAATTTATCTTGCAGCAGTTTCTGTTAAATTGCATCTGCATAATAAACTTACTCCAGCATAACCTTGCAATTGAATATATTTTCCTGTTTTATAAACTCTGCATCCAATGTAGACTCAAATTTGTTGAGTCTCATTGTTTTCTTTATCTTGAATTTCTTCTTCATCTTTATTTCTTCCACAGCAGCCACCAGATTGACTCGTACCTCAGAACGTCACCTTGCCATTCCAACTGGCTCACCTTGGTAATCCTACTGCTTTCATCTCATAGTCTATACCACATCCACTATTTTCCCATTTAAAACTCAAAGAATCAAGGACCCACCTTTCTTGTGAATGTTAAGCAGATGGAGCTATATAATTTTTTTTTTCTTTGACGAGTATTCAAATGAATGTAAGCAAGGAAGTTTTCTAAGGCCCTAAGTCTATGCTGGTCAATTTCCTCTCTGATTCCAAAGTTTATCAGTTATTTGTTGTTGTTGTTTTCCCTTCTTTTCTATATTCTCACCCTTCCTTTTTAATTTTCTGTGTTTCACATAGAATAAAACTTGCACACTGTAAGCTATTTAATTTCATAGTAATTTCACATCAAACTGGACCTTGAAAACAGTTTTCAAAAAAAAGAAAATATGAGAAGTGCTAAGCAAATAAACAAGATCAAGGAGAAAACAGTAAAATGAAGAACTAAAATAGTTTGCTTAACCTTAACTAAGTCTGTAATATTAATCATTTTATGTGTGAGCATCTGCTAGTATCTGCTGATATATGTCCAGAAAAAAAAAATCATCAAATCACAAATTCAACTTTCCCTAAATGTTTTTGATTAGTCCTTCAAATGTATTCGGAATCCTTTTAAAATTCACTCCAAGAACATAATCACATGATGTGTCTTTGAGAGCCAGATGTATTAAATTTTTTAATTGCCAATGCCTGGATAGTCCTCATAAGTCTAATCGTTTCTGAACTACTTATTTGCAAAATTATCTAGGGCAAGTCACTGAATCTGCATTGGTCTCAATATCCTAATCCATACAATAGGGGTAATGATAATATTTCATACAAATGTTGTGAATATTAAACAAAATAATGGAAATAAAGATACTAGTAGAGTGTTTAGGTGTAATGATGCATGATAGTCATTGTTATTAATACATATAATTACTGCTGAAGAAAACTTTGAGAAGTTCACAGGGATCAAATATTTTAGTACTTTACTTTTTTTCTTTATATTATTGTAAAGACATGGGGTAGAAGTCAAGATTAGGTCCATAAGTAGTATGCATGCAGGTGAAGTTGGGCCTCAAACTTGTTCTCACTTTCCCTGGCTTAGGATCAGGTATCCTTAGTGATATTATGTGCCCACCAACCCCCCGCTCCAGCAGTGTCTCACTACTGCCAATCCCTCTCTCCTAGTATTAATGTTCAAGACCCACTTACAAGTGAGAACATGTGGTATTCAGTTCTCTGTTTCTGTGATAGATCACTGAGTATGATGGACTCTAAATCCATTCAAGGTGTCGCGAAGTCCGTAATTTTCTTCTTCTTTTTGGCTGTGTGAAACTCCATCATGTATATGTACCACATTATCTTTATCCAGCCCACTTTTGATGAGAAGCAAATACTTTTTTTTTAAATGTATGTTTTATATGGGTTCTATTCATTCCTGCTACATAGTGAGCAATAGTATGTTAAAGTTTCACTTTTTAAGATAAGCCTTAGTTCACTGCATCTGTGAACTAAGCACTACGTTGAGTGTTTTATTGTGGTACAACATATTTTTAACTTTATTTATTAAGAAAAATATGGCAAATTAAGATAAACTTGCATAATTTCATTGGGGGTCTCAAAAGAGTTACCAAAACAATTTCCCCGTTGGTTCAGAGATTCATAAGCATAGCATATGTCATACCCAAATAGTTTCACTCTGTATTACAAAAACCAATAATTAATAATAATAATAAATCTATCATGATAAATTTCCAGATACTATTAAGATTTCCAAATAAAGTAATTCCAGAAAGAAGATTGCTTCAACTTAAATTAAAACAATTCAATACACATATTTAAATTAAAATATAATTGTCAAAGCATTTATATAAATTAAAATTATTTCAATGTAAACTCATTTGTGTAAAATAAAGTGTAACATGTCATTGACCAATCTAGTCTTTGGCAGGATAGTCCATAAGTTACATGTGCACATGCACGTGTAAATTTTGCACATATATTTTCACATGAGCGGTTAAAACTAATGTCTAAACTAACCAAAATATATACAATCCGCATGTAATCATACCCTGACTGATGAAGTTCAATATTTATTTATATGTACATATATGTAAATGTATGGAAATGAAACCGATATGGTAATTTATAATTAGTTCAATTTATGTCACATTAGCTAATAAAAAATGAACATACAGTGCAAAATTACTGTCATTATCTTCTGAATTTAGCAAATTATTTTGTTTCATTTACTGTAAGTTGCTGAGTTATAATGTTTCTGTTCTTCAAAATAGTAAGTTTTATTGAAAGATTTATAAGCAATTTAAACTCTAATTTATCGCGGGGCTCGGTGGCTCAACCTGTAATCCCGCACCTTTGGGAGGCTGAGGTGAGTGAATTGCCTGAGCCCGCGGGTTCGAGACCTGCCTGGGCAGCGAGACCTCATCTCTACAATAAAAATCAAAAAATCAGCAGGGCGTGGTAGCACATGCCTGTAATTCCAGCTACTTGGAAGGCTGAGGCGGAAGGATCGCCAGAACCCAGCAGGTTGAGGCTGCGGTGGCCGGGAGCGGGCACTGCACTCCAGTCTGGGCGACAGAGTAAGACGCCAACTCAAAAAATAAAAAATTTTAAAAATTTTAAAAAAAACTCTAATTTATCAATACATTACTAAAGAAGTAAATCTATTTTCTGGACCCAATTTACAATGATATATTGGTATTCATAAATTTGAAAATATGTCTACCTATAATATGTAAATAATATGCTATCTGTAATTTTAAAATCTCCTAAGTTTTGTTTATGTCCCTCTTTTACTATATGTGGACCTAAGAATAATATATTGTATTCATGTATGAATATTCACAGCACTTGTCACAGATATGCAGTTCACATTTTAAAAATTTATACTGAATTTTAAACCACAATAAAATGATCTTCTGTTTGAATGTGTTATTTATTTACCTGAAGAAGGGCACCAAATTTCTCAATAGACAAATCTACTTGTGTTTCTGTATTGTTTCGCTCTTGTTAACTTAAGATACTTTTTCCACAGCTGCATTAATCACTGCACCTGTGAACTAAGCCTTATGTTGAGTATTTTATTCTGGTACAACATATTTTTAACTTTATTTCTTAAGAAAGATAAGGCAAATCAAGTTAAACCTGCATAATTAGGGAGTCTCAAAAGACGTACCAAAACAATTTCCCTGTTGGTTTAGAGATTCATAAGTATGAAATATGTTATACCCAAATACTTTTATTGGATGAATTTTAACTTTATATTTCCAATGCTTTCATAAACTCCATAGATTAGGCATGTAACTCAAACATCAGAGTCAAGAAAAGCAACGAGCAAAAGTTCAAACAATTACAGAGAAAACAACTCCTGAATACTAGCAAATAAGCTCTCAGAAGACATAACCCAGAAGATATTTTGGAATCCTAAAACCAGAGAAATAGATTTTTTAAATGCATAAGTCTATAAATTTATAGAAATCTACAAAACAATCTTACAATAGAATCTATAAATATGTAGCAAGGTAAACTGAGTTCATCCTAGGACCTGCAGTAGCAAAATAGATGGGCAAAATGGAGGTTTTTGGTTTGCTGAGGTGGTACACACACAGTTTTAGTTTGCAAAGTGGGGAAAACAAGTTAAAATATTACTGAGAAGATAAGAGAAGATCAGGATAGAAGAGTGAGAGGAAAATGGGCAATAATAATAGAGATGGACCTTTGGATGAGGGAGAATAGAAATTACTTAGAATCTTTGGGAATTTCTGCAATGCAAAAAAAATGATCACTCTACAAATATAGGTTCTTCTGTAAAAATTGCATGTTAGCTAAGTCTTGTGGGGAGTGCAATAACCAGTTAATATTGCTTTCAAAAAAGTTCTAGCAAGAGCAAAAGGAACTTGGTCACATGGAGAAGCTATTCACACACAGAAGGGACTTCGAGAGAGTATCTTCCAAGAATACTCTCAACCAAGGAAAATTAAAGTTTTGGTACCCTTGCTTTTAGTAAAGTCATGAAATTTCA